ATGATAGAATATATACATTATATAATTCTCATTTCTTTTTCCCCCCTCTCCTACAGCAACCAGAGACCATTGGAAATAGCATCCAGTTTTTTTCTAGAACAATGATGTTGTGATAAAGCCTTTTAGATTACTGCAGCATATACAAGTTAGTCTGTTGATGTTTATGTATGACCCAGAGGATGTTCAGATGTTGAATTAGCATCAGTATTGTCCTAATCAGCTAAGTAAAAATAAAGTAACAACAGTGTAGAGACTAAAAACATCAATATCACACTCTCAGGAGTAAGTTACCTAGTTAAAAATGAAACAGCCTTTGTAATAAGGATACATTATCTGAAAGACAAAGTATACAATTCAGCACCATCAGATGTTGATCTGAATAGAGTCATTGCTGCCGTTACAGTCTGCATAGGTGGTTATACAGCACCACAACAGATGAGAAATACTTCTTAACAAATTGATTAATTCACCCCACAATTCACAGAACTTTTTCTTCTCCTCCAAGTTGAGGTGGCAAATATATAAGGTAAAACAGATATGTCTATTCTGTGTGTTTTCTCTTAGGAAAATTAAAATTAATATTTGAACTTGTATCACGAATGGCAAGGTATATCAGTCAGAGTTTTCTGTTAAGAACACAGCTTTGGATCACTAGAAGAGAAAATTAATCGGTTTGGATGTTGTCAACATAATCATTCTGGAAGGTGGGGGATCAGGAACAGAAAATGGATCGGGGCAATGAGAGAGCAGGAAGCACGGCCAGCCATAGCTCATGAGCACTCTGGGTTGGTTGCCACTGGCATTGCTGCTAGTGGACACCAAGGCTACTGTTTTGTTGTCTTTGACAGATTACTCAGCTCGGGATACTTAAGGCTGCTGCCACTGGACTATACATCTAGTTTGTTGAACAATTGATGCTGAGGCTTCTGCCATTGGTACTTTCTCAGCTACCTGCATCATTGGAAGTCCTGCTTGCAAGTACCCAATTGGTTAAGCTTAGATTCTGAGCCTATAGCCAGGGTTTCAGAAGGGTAAGAAGAGAGTGTCTCTAGCCCCTTTGGATTCTGGGATGGGAAGCAACATTCATACCATCAGAGTATGCCCCATAATGAGCCGAGTTGACCCCTCTACCCTGCTCCCCTACCCCAGTCTTTCATGTGCTACTAGAGGCCTGGTGTACAAAATTTGTGCACTGGGGGCAAGGGGTGTCCCTCAGCCCAGCCTGCACCCTCTCCCATCTGGGACATTCCTCTCATAATCTGGGACTGCTGGCTCCTAACCACTCACCTGCCTGCCTGCCTGCCTACCTGATTGCCCCTAACTGCTTCTGCCTCCCAACCTGATCACCCCCTAATCGCTCCCCTGCTGGCCTGATTGATGCCTAACTGCTGACCTGATTGATGCCTAACTGCTGGCTTGATTGATGCCTAACTGCTTCTCTGTCAGCCCAATTGCCCCCAACTGCCCTTTCCTGCCTGCCCAATGACCCCCAACTGCCCTCCCCTGCCAGCCCAATGGCCCCCAACTGCCCTCCCCTGCCGGCCACCTTGTGACAATGTGGGGGTGGCCATCTGGTGATGCAAGGACATGAGGGTCAATTTGCATATTACCTCTTTATTACATAGGATTGTCTGTGTCCATGGGTTATGCATATCCAGAGGCAAACCAGTTAGAGCAATATATTTTATTTTTGATAGTTAACATTTTCTTTTTTATGAATCATTTTCATGTTCTTTTATTATTAGGAATTTATAGCTCTAAAAATATAGAAAAACTGAGTATATGGGATATGTGGTCATTAGAAACTGCACAGATATTTTTTGGAGATGTACAGTTTCTAAAAATTTGCTCATTGGAAAGGAAGAAATGAGTTTTAAATACCCAATGGTACAGCTCCAAGAGAAATGTATTTACGATTCTATGTACGTACTAGAACAAAAATTTGAGTCATGAGAAAATACTCATGGTTATATGAAATTATAACCCATTTTGAGTTAACTTGGCATACATTAGTACCAGTAGGAATTGTTCAATTAGAAATTAAGTTTTCTGAAAATACACATCATCCCATTACTAGTTACAAAAGCAAAAGTATATGTTGAATAAAGCAACACTTGCACACTCAATTAAAAGGCAAACTACTTGCCCTGGCCAGTTTGGCTCAGTGGATAGAGTGTCGGCCTGCAGACTGAGGGGTCCCAGGTTCGATTCCGGTCAAGGGCATGTACCTTGGTTGCGGGCACATCCCCAGTAGGGGGTGTGCAGGAGGCAGCTGATCGATGTTTCTCTCCCATCGATGTTTCTAGCTTTCTATCCCTCTCCCTTCCTCTCTGTAAAAAATCAATAAATTATATTAAAAAAAAAAGAAAAAAGGCAAACTACTTTACATAAAATTTTTATATTGCCTGTCTTTGGAATGGCCACATCCTTCAAAAAATTTAATATAACTTAGATCGAAAACTGTATAAATACAAAGATGACTAAAGTTTTTCTCTTTCTCAGTATTTTATATATGCATATATATGTATTATATATATATGAATATATGTACAAATATATTGAAAATATATACTTTTTTTCTTTTCACTTCCTTACATATTTAATTTATATTAAACTTTATTTCATGAGAACTTCCTGGAGATTTTAGGTTATATGAAGGTACAAGAATTAAAGCAAGCGTATTAAAATCATAGTAAATATTAAAATGCTCTTGTTTTATGAATTTTTGTAGTTTACATTTTGAAGAATAAATTAAAATTTGAAAAGTTTGAAAAGAGAACTTTGAGCAACTACCCTGAAGGCAGTACCATTGAGTTCTAGGAACCCTTCTAAATTCTTTACAAGTAATATTATCACAATAACCCTCTGATTGTGTATCACTGCTTTAGATTTAATTGTTTTTCCTCTTACAAATAGAATAACTAGAGTGGCGAGGTCATCAACCCCAAATCATCATGTGAGTAGTGGAGCCAGGATTTATGCTCAGATAGTGTGACTTCATACCTTTCAGTCTTAGCTACAATGCTAATTTGCTTCCCAATAAATATTTAGTCAGTTAATTCATCACTGTGGCCTGATGAAGTTATTTACTAACTAAATGAACCCAAATTATCAAGCACTTTTTCCACTTTCTCTACAAGGAAGCAAATTCAATACATATGATTTGAAATTTAAGAGCATAGGAAAATTAGGAAAACTAAATCATTTCAGAGAACCAAAAGCTTTCTATGGGTGCAGGTGCCAGGGTTTTCTGCTCTAGAATTCAAATGCTTAAAATGTTGCATATTTGTTTTAGATTTAACAAGTATTCTCTACTCAAGTAGTATCTAAGAATTTGCATGCTAATTTAAATTCTAGCGATAATATGTACAATTGTCCCTTCCCTCATTGTGGAGACCTATGCCTCATATCTGTATGGGATGGTGCAGATAAGTTATACCTTTTATTATTTCCAAATGTGTTAGCACACTTCCAAGGACCAACTCTTAGTGAAACAAAGTAGATATTTTGCAGAACATTTCAGACATTTGGGATTTGTTTACATTTTTATGAATTGCTTTCTGAATCTGCTTTACCATTTAAAATATGGGACTTACAGTGCGTCCCTACCACCCAAACATATGCAAGTCATGTGTGGTTTGAATAAAAATTATAATGCGAATGTTTTGCCTTTTTATTAGAATCAACTTCCCAGATACATCTAGCAATAATTTTATTTTCAGAGTTAGCAATGAGCTTGTAAAGGATTATAAAGGATTAGAAGTTTTCCATATTTGATGTTTCCCCCCAAGTTTTATTTCTGGGAGCATTATTTCCTAGTGGCTCCCCAAACACAAGGAAGAAAAGGGTGCTAGCAAATGGACCCCTGATGGGACAGGGGCAGGTCCTTTCAGGAGCTGTCTGTCAGGAATCTCAGTAAAGGCAGTGATGAGAGAGGGGTTATATGAAATACTGGTTAGGGACTTGATTTTAGGCAGTTCTTAAAAAGAATTCTAAAATAAGAAATGTTGAAGAAGGCAGTGATAACAATCACATTTACATTACCCCAAGCCCCTTATCGTCACCTCCTTGATGATACTATCCAACATTTAAATAGTGTTTTAATATATTTTACAAAGTACTTTCATATAATAGCCAATACTTAATCTTGAATTCCATCCTTGTCTTGCTATCATTGGTTTTCCTAGGGCCTTGATCTTGTTTACTTCTTATTGATTCCCTTCTGTTTCCATCTTCCAGTTATTTTTCTTTGGCCTTTTGTTCTTTTCTTTTTGCAATTTTAATTATTGCAACGATTTCTGAGTCTTCCCTGAGCTCTAGCTGTCACATAATTGACACAGAGTACATAATTAAATAATTCTTGAAAAAAATCAATCTCTAATTGTTTGATAGAAATTTCCACTTAGAGGTCCCGTCATCATCACAGCCTGAAACCAACTTATCGTCTTACCCTTAAAATAATTCCCTTTTCTGATGTGTCTATAATAATAGGAAGAACTAACATTTATTGAGTAACTATCATGAGTAAGGTGCTTTCCAATATATTATCTGTCTCTCACAATGACCCTATGAAATGGGTGATTTAATGAAGAAACAGGTCCCCACACACTGAGCAAGTAGAGGAATGGATATTTGAACCCAGGTCACCTAACTCAAACCAGTTTCACATCAGCCTCAGGTTTGTCAGGCTGTTACTTAACCCTTCTCAGCTCTGGTGTTTTAACTGTCAAGCAGAGGCCCAAATGACAACAAATCCAACCAGAAAACATAGGTATTTAGAGAAAAGTACTGCAATGATAATAGATTTATAAATAGAAATATTTGAAAATTAAATATTTTTGAAGCTGCAGTTATGATTTATCACATTTGTTTGAATAAAGTTCCGAATACAAATGTGTTAACTTTTCTTGATTTTGCTTGGAACCGGAGTTTTTAGAACCATTTCTCAGGTTCTATGTAAAAATATAAGGGACTTGAATAAAGAAACAACAAAGTTCAACTTATTTCATTAAAAATTTATTTTTAGAGCTCATAAATGAGTAAATTCCAAAACAGCAATACAGAGTATTTAAGAACATTTTAATATTTCTTTCTACTCAACATTCTACCTTTGTTTTGCTTTCTAAAAACAAATATACTGGATCAAAACAACAATACTCTTACCCCTAAGTTCAATGCTGACTACTTTCAATTATCTATTTTGAGCACATAATAATGCAGAGACAATTAATTTTCTTGAACATGTTATTTCCAGTCAGAGTTTAGCAATTACTTTAGTTTCACATTCTGTCACAAATGATAACCAAATGGCCTAAGTAGCTAAAATCATAAAGCTATTTTAAGCCAAGTCAATGGTATGCATAAAGTTAATATAAAATAACAATTATACTGGTTCACATTTGTTTTGCACCTACTAGAAATATGTCAAAATAATAAGATTTATTAAAGAATGAGGTCCTTGGGCAAAGGGGGAAGAGGAGTCATATAATCAAAAATTATTAGAAAAACATCATTGGTAAAAAGAAATCTGCCTACAATTTAACCAAATCAAGGAGAACAGGGGAGTACATCATTAGGGTTGATGTCACTCAGGAAAATGATTATCATTCCACCACAAACTGTCCACCACTGCAAGAGCTCAGCGTCAGGCTCCCCATTCTATTATTCTCCCACTAAGTTTCTTTACATGGAACATAAACTTACATTTATGAGAACAACAGAACACTATTGCTATTTAATCTGATAGCAAACAATAGAAAAACAATGGTTCGGGCTGGACTGACTTTTGGCGTTCTCAATACCCCTGAAAATAGGGGCAAAATGAGTCATTAAGCGCCCAGCCTGTTTTCCCTTCCGGACGGAAAGTATAGTGTCAGTCACCGGTGACTGGGCACTTAATGTGTTAAGAAACAGTATGCAAAGAGCACTGTATTATGTAATGTGATTTATAAAACGGGTAAAATTCTGTAACTGTTAATGGAAAAAGCCATATTTGAAAACGAGGAATGTTTTGCTGCTGATTTTTTTACCAAAGTGGTACCCCAAACCACTTAAGTTGGAACAAATTCCAAACTGACACTTACTTGCATCACCTCAGTTTAATAATCCAATAAATGACAAAAAAGACAAACAATGAAAACAGCATCATATAGCACATCAGCTTGCTTTGGCTCCCTCTGGATAAAATCTTCAGTTTTTCCATAGTTCTACCTAGAAATCCAGTTGTAGAATCAAATTGTGAATCCTATGAGGAGAAAAGAAAAACAGAATATAATGCTTAGATCTAATACTCTACATATGCACTTAAGTAATTGGATATATTGTTATTAGAACACATTCTTAATGACATTTTTAGTGTTTAATCAATTCAGAAACCTGTTTATAACTTGGATAATCAGCCCTATTATTCCATGCAAAACTGAGTAATTCTCTCAATGAATAAAAAGCTCTTTTATTATCCAATAAACATTTCTTTCAGCCACAGAATTCTTCACAGTCCTAAACTATTTAGGTCTTATTCCAATTATGTGGATTAAAAACCATTAACAATAAACATAGTTTGTCTACTATCACACAGGTTTCCCCCCACTTTTTTGGGGTGCGTGAGATCAAACCATTTTACTGAGGACCTTCAGGGGAGGGTCAAAGGGCTAGGAGGACGAGAGCTGATGTCCTGGGCCGGCTAGGCTCTCCCCAGCTTCATAGCTGCCAGAAAAGCACTTTGGTGTTTTTTTTTTACCACTTTTTGTTGGGGCATATTCTCCAAGAACAAATGGGTCTGCTTACCAGTATAGCAATTCATCCAAAATGTAATATGGTTGGTTAGCAGTTAAATGTACCTTTACTTTTAAGATCCTTTAATTTAAATAGCTGACTTTGGAGTAAAAGTTAAGAGAATATCATATAGAAGTGGTGAGACAGAGTAATAACTACAAATATGGATGGGGAAAACTACCATATTAAAACATAGCTGGAAAAGGCCTTATGATGAGGACTAGGTATGGAATAGAAATATTGCACTTTCACAGGAACTCAGTATGCTGAGATGTAAAGGTCCTGGCATTATGATAGCTTTTATATGGCTCTGGCTATGTAGCTCAAGCACTTTATACATCTACTAGGAGCCCAGCGTGTGATTCGAAATCACGCGGCGCTGCCCACCCTCGTGTCACCGGTCCAGCCCTGCCTCCCTCTCCCGCCCTTGAAGCAGCCATGGCCGCTGCTGAGCAGGGCCTTTCCCAGCGCAGGCACGTGGAGGCCCCTGCTGCCCTGCCCCCTAGGCTGCGTGCGCAACCTCCTCCTGTCCACAACCTCCTCCTGTCCACAACCTCCTCCTGTCTGGTCGGCCCATTACGGTGTCCCAGTTAATTAGCATATTTCTCTATTTTATATATATAGATAGATAGTTCTTCAGCAGCAGGGCTATGTATCAGAGTCTTCTGGGATGCTTTTTATAAAATGCATATACCTAAATCCCTTCCCCTGATATTCTGAATCAGTATATTTAGAATGAGGACCAGACATCGATATTTTCAGAAAGCACCCATGATTCTAATGCACAATCTTCATAGGAACATTGCTTTCAATGCCATATTCATTTTTGGATAGTACAATTTTAAAAGCATGTGGAGAAACTGGGGAAGGTCTGGAGAAGCTTGACATCCAAAATAAATATTTAAGAATGGAGAGTGGCTTGAAGAAGAAAAGATATTAGTATATATTGCTGAGATTGTTTAGACTAGAGATAAAAGGTTCTAGATGTTACTATGTTCAAATCCTATTGATTTGTTCAGAAGTGATCCTTAGGATATCAAGCAAAAGAAATAGGCTTACATTAAGTACAAGGCATTTGGTTGATTAGACGTAAAGTGCTTTTAGATTACTTGGCAGTCTACATGCATTGAGATCTCAAAGAACGCTCTACATAGTCATTTATCCTGAGTCTTCAACTGTGTTTTTAAACACAGGATCAAAGATACTTAGTTTCTACTTTTTCCTCATACTTATGTGTGTTAGGCAAGATGAAAAATGTAAAAATATGGCAAAAACAAACTTTGTAGCTATTCAAAACCAATTAGATATAAATGGATTAAAATCCAGGACATACGATCCCTAGATCTATTCCAAAATGGATAAAAGTTAAAATGATATTATTCCTGCTTAACATGCTAACTTTAAGAATATTAGATCTCGGTCTTAAAGTTAAAATCTTACTTACCATTTCAGCTAATAATTTATTTTGAGTTTTAACTTCATGGCCTATCTCAATGGAAAGCTATAAAGAAAGCATATATATTACTACTCATATAAAAGTATTTAAGTGTTATAAAGCAAATATAATGCCATTTTAAATATACATTTTCTCAGAAACTGTATTCTAGAAGTAGAAAATATACTCTCTTCTTCTGATACATTTTCACTGATATTAATGGAAAATAAACTTAGAACTTTTACTCCTTCTCTATAAGGACATTGCTTCCCTGCTCTTCATTTAGATTTCATTTAATATTCAATTCCATCTTTGAATTTTGGTACATACTTCTGATTCACCTATCTTTGCATGCTTTTTCTCTCTTTATAATTATTCATACAACAGCATTTATCTATATATTTCCTTCTTTATGTTTTTAAAAATGTACATAAGTACCTGTATTATCAATTCAAATTCAGATACAAATATTTAATATTTTCCTTCTGAAATTGACATTGAATATATGCCTAGATTATTTCTTTAGATTCTAAAGGTATTTCTTTTTAAATATAACAAATTGAAAAAAAATTACAAGTTGTCATCCACATTCTAAAGCTATGCAGAAAAGAGGCTGAGCCAAAAAAAATCAGCGCGATTATGGCTGCTATTCAAACCAAAATGTGTTTAATACTTTATATGACAAATTCATCAAAGCCTTCATTTCCAAGATATTTGAATAAATATAATCACAACTACTAAAACAGCTTGGCAAACCATTGCAAATATTGTTCTCAGCTTATTTTGTGTGAACACAGTACGGGAGCATTTCTGACACAAAACCATACCAGAATTCTACAGATCAGAATATGAGATAATAAAGCAACTATATATAAAGCTTGATAGCCCAAATCACCTAACTGCTGTCTACAACTGTCATTTATGCCACGGAAAGGAATTTCCAGGGGCAATAGCTTTCTTCTAACAAGGAGCCTAAATATTCACCATTTGAGTTGTTTTGTTTTTTTTTAATCATCTAATTCTTAATTCCCTCTCAATGTTATATTTGCTAAAGTATTAACATTATACAATATTGCTTAGTTCACAGAATTTTGGTACATACTCCTTTTGATTTAGTATGACTTTGAAAACAATACTCATTTCAGAATATAATAGTCTCCAGGCTGAATACAATTCTATTTCCCAAGACTAGTGAAATACCAATTAAGTTTTGGCAATATGAGCTTCTACTGAATGCTCTGTTAGTGTACAGCATGTTTATTGTAATGCAGAATATATCACACACACTTTTAAAACCATCTTTTTCATTCCTTTATTTAATACATTTAATTCAATACAACTGATAAGGAATTATACTAGGTGTTGTGTAGAATATAAAAATAAGTACAACAGAAAACCCTACACTTAGTAAATTTCTTTTACATACAAATAATTCCAATGCAGATCACCATACAATAAGGGTGACAGAAATGGTACAAATGGTCTTATTTCCATAAAGAAAAATGTCACTTTTGACGTCATAGTAGGGTAAAGCGTAGAGGAAGTAAGGGGTGCAATGGAGTGGGGCCTTTCAGACAGGCAAAAGCTCAGCCACTGTAAGGAGGGAGAGGACAGTAAGGCAAAGGGATAGCACGATCAAAGATGTGGGAGTAGGAAAGTCAGTGTCTGGCAGAAAGTATATACACGTCCTGAAAATGCAGGAGATAAGGTCTGAGAAGTTATGGACAATCTTTAAAGAACCTATTTGATCAACCTACAGAGTGTGAACTTTCTTACTTCACAGGAGGACAGTGAAGTCTTCTGAGAGTGCAGGATATAATTTTAAAAATACACTAAGATGACTGGTGACAGTATGTAGCTCAGACCAGAACATGTTAAAAATTTAGGAAAAGATAGGTTAAAGGCTTTCCCAATAAAGAACCAGGGGATAGTATTAGAAATGGAAAAGCAGAAATAGAAAGAAGCATTAGAAAGAAAGACGCAAAAGACTTGGTGATTGCTGTGAAGTAAAAGGTAGAAACATGAAGGCTAAGATTTGTAGCTTAGGAGACTAGGAGGAAAGGTCAGAAGAAGAGCTGCCTGGGTGTGGAGGATGGACTGCTCAGAGACATTCCTACAGACATCACAGACAGTATTTTAGATTTAACCACAAAAAACAGCTGAAGTTTAAAAAGGATAAACAAATGTACCATATGTTTTCATTAGGCACATTTTTAAACCTACTCAAATCATGTCTAAACTTTGAGCATACCTCACTGAACTACACTATTTGGGTAACTGAATTCCTTAATATGATGCCAATAAAAGTGTAATATATATACACATATAAATATACAAATTTAAAAGTACTTAATGTATACTTACAGATTTTATAGCAGTTACTTTGTGTCTCAGACTTTCAGTGAGTCTGTCATTTTCTTCTTCACAGGCACTATATCCACTATTAGCATAGCCATAGTTCCCATAGTTGCCTTCACCTGCAAGGATCAGTCACAAGTCTAGTTGTAGCAAACATAGGCCACTTTTGAAACTTTGATTAAAAAAAGAACCGAAAAAGACCCCTGGAGGGCGTTGCAGACCACGTATGTCAATAATAGTCACATTTCAAATGAGTTTTTAAAATAACAAAATAGAACAATTTCTTCAATGCCCTCTCTTAAGCAAAGAATATTCAATTCATTTCAATACATATTTATTAACTGCGTATTGATTGCCCACAACACACTCAAATAAGTACTGCTATACATACAAGGGTATTCAGGACACATTTCCTGTTCCATAGAACTATACATTTTTAAAAAGGCCTAAAAGTAGTAACATCGACTCCCCATGGAAGAAGCCTGGCTCTGAAGAGTAAGGGAGAAAGAGGATACTATAGCAGGAGGGAGCTCATGGCAGAGGGAGGGTCCTTTATTGGCATCTCTCTCTTAAACAGAAGAGAGCTGGAATAACTTAATAGAGAATACAGCTGAGAGCTGAGAGAGGGGATCATTCATTCTTAACAAACATTTGAGAAACTATGATGTGTCAGGTCCATTGTTCTTCCTGGTGCTACTTTTTGGAGCTCATCTTCTAGAAAATAGCATTGAGATACAGGAATGCAATCCCTGCCACTGCCTAATACAGTACTTGGTATTCATCAGGCAATCAAACAGGTGGAGTGAGCCTTGGGCAGTGAAGACAATGAGAAGAAAAGATAGTTTAGCAGTGGTTGCCAACCAGTGGTCTGTGGACCACTAGGTGGTCTGTGAGGTCCAAAAGGTTGGCGACCGCTGGTTTAGGGTGTTATTTAACCACATTAAAAAAAATAATACCACCAATTTTCTCATTAAAAAAAAAAAAAAAAAAAAAAAGGCTGTCTCTGAAGGATGACAATCAGGAAAAACAGTAAAGAGAAGGGAGGAAATTGGGAATACACAGGGACATAAAATAAGCCTGGCTGAGGCAATGTATAGGAGCAGTTTCAATCCTCTCAGATGTGTGGAAAAAAAAAAAGAGCTCATCAGCCTGAGTTAGCTTATGAGAAGCTGGATAGTTGGATTGCTCAAGAGTTGGAGGTTTACAGTGTTGGGCTGCAGAAGGACAGAACACCAAGAGGTTGAGACTGCTTGCCAAAATAATGGTTAAAGATATGAATTATGGGGTCTAGATTGGACAGGGATTGAAGTAGTTTCAATAGAGGCCTGAGAATATGGAGGAATGGGATGATATAGAAACCAGATGTCTAGTAAACTCAAAGAATAGCTGGAAGAACAGGAAGTATTGGTCAGTGCTGGTGGTTGAAAGATGTTTGAGGCGTGCATAGAAAGTTCTTTTAAGGCACAGCACAAATCTCACTTTCTCTAAAAAGCATAGCTCTTTCACTTTGAATTCTTACAGCTCTGACTGTACAAAACACTAATATAGCACACCAGACCACACTCCAAGAGCAGAAACTAAATTTCTTTCATTCCTGGCTATATATCCCCCACAAACGCATGCATACACATAGGAAAGCACACTCAATCAACTTGTAAATGAATGAATGAATAGAATCTGAAATCATGGTTATTCAACTTTTAATGTGCCTGCCTTTGTCAAGAATCTATATATATAAAAGGCTAATATGCTAAGTGTCCCTCCAACCGTCCGACCAGTTGCTATGATGTGCACTGACCACCAGGGGGCAGACGCCCAACACAGGAGCTGCTGTGATGCGCACTGGCCATTTACAAAGAAATGGCACCGCGGACCTGGCACCGACAAAGCAACACTCGTCTTCCCCCAAGTGGGAAACAGGCCCCGCCACCACACCAGAGTGACAGCCCACCAAATTGCAGCCAACGCTGCCAAGACCCCATGGTGCAAATTGCGGCCCACAGCCCAGCCCAGCCTGGAAACAGTTGCTGTGGGTGCCACATTAATGACGCCATGTAGCAACACCTGGCTTCTGCTCCCTAGTGACTAGCCTCCTTGGAGTTTTTTCAGCCCAGGAACATGACTTGCTTTATAGCCAGGTGCAAACATTTTACACTTTAACCAAATGTCTGTGAAGCATTTTCCCATGCCTCATCTCATTTGATCCTCATACAAGTCCTGGATTGGTAGATATGAGACTTGGTAGAATCCTATTTTCATTAGCCAGAAACGGAGTTTTAGAAAGTTTAGAAACTTGACCTGACTAAAAAGAAGAAATGGTGAACCTTGAAAATGACTTCAGGTTTTCTCACTGTGCAGAATATAGTCAAACACTACTGCAGTTAAATATTTTACCCTTTGTTCTCCCTGCGTGATCTACAATAATAATCTGCTTCATGTTGATATTTACTGCTGTGTTGCTGACAATTACCTGAAAGAAAAGTTAGGGTGCTTCACTGGGCTGGAAAAAGTTTCGTTAAATCAGAAAGCAGGTCTAATTAAGCAGGTTTAAAATATATATATATATATATATATACATACATACATATATATGGCTAAGTTGACTCGCACATTCATGATACATATACTAGTAAAGCTCTCGCTGGTGCCACTGCAGGCGTGTGTTTTGATCTGTCATTGTCGATCATGAATTTGATTGACACTTTTATAGAGAAAAGGCAAATAGCAATATTAAAATATTTCTTCTAATAAATTTCCTTTCAATGTGCATGAATCCATGCACTGGGACACTAGTAGAATCATAAGCTTCTTTGAGGGCAGAAACAGTATCTCATAATCCTTTATCCCCTATAATGAGTACTTTATATGCAGCAGACACTTACACAATCTCTACCACCACACACACAAGAACACAACAACATGCCAAACAAGTATATTCCAGAGGAGGAGTTGCATTCCCCAAATTTTCCCTCTGCTGACATATTATCCATAAAGCTCTTCAAATGTGCTATTATAAAAGTGAAGAACTCAAGTGACTATGCATAGTATTTCCCCCACTCAGTTAAAATAGTTGTTTAAACATGCATTCCCATTCCATCAGTTAATGATAAGCTGTACAGACTCTACTTTAATGAGGACCAAAATCCTTAAAGAAAAGGTGTATGTCTTCTTCTTTTATGAGTAAGGTTCTAAATGTAGAACATTTGCCCAATAAGTAATTAATGACTGGCTGAATATAATCACTTGTCAACTTTACCAAGGAATTCATTTCGAAATGAATGGTTATTTGCTTTATTTTCTTTGTTTACCTTAATTTTAATTTTATAGTACTTCTATATCATTCCATTTATTGAAAGCAAAATTCTCATCACCCAGCAATCTTTCAATACACATTTCTTGTTAAAGAATTTCAAACTTTCCACATACTATCACCCACCCCAACTATAAAAACTACAAAAGTGTTAAATAAAATTCTAGTTGCTATTCCAAAGTTAGCCACTTCTTTTTGTGTGGACCACTGCTATGAAAGTTCTAGGAAAGCTAGTGAGTGCCAGCCATCCATCATCAGCCTTTGTCCATTAAGACAAATGCTACTTCTTTTGGGTAGTTTCTATCAGTAGCTGAGCCAAATCACTTAAAGAGATTCATGTGAAGTGTTGCAGCTCCTCCATGTGAATATCTATCAGATTCACTATTTCTTTTTAAAAAAATATATTTTATTGATTTTTTTACAGAGAGGAAGGGAGAGGGATAGAGAGCTAGAAACATTGATGAGAGAGAAACATCGATCAGCTGCCTCCTGCACACCCCCTACTGGGGATGTGCCCGCAGCCTAGGTACATGCCCTTGACCGGAATTGAACCTGGGACCCTTCAGTCTGCAGGCCGATGCTCTAGCCACTGAGCCAACCCAGATAGGGCTCACTATTTCTTTATTCCAAGTTTAAAATTCCAAGTCAATACACATTGCTACTTAAAAAAAAAAAAAAAAAAAAAGCCTGCCTCCCTTACCAATGTAAATGATAGCAATGGACAGACACCTAAGTCATCATCTTTCCTCTCAACTACAAGGGAGCTTGAAAGAAAAAAGGCTCTATCCTAGAGATTCTAATTTAATTAGTCTCAGCTGGGGGGTCCAGGTAGCATGCCTTGAAAGCTCTCCAGGCGATTAGGTGATTCTAATGTATAGTTAGGGCTGAGAATCACCACCTGTTCCTGCAATTTATCACGACACACTGCAGAACAAAATATTCCAAGGGTTAATAGGCCTACTGATAAGATCCAAACTCCCTGACCTGGCACTCAAAGATCTCCACAAGGTGGTAGTTCTGGTTCCACGTCTCCTACCTCAGACAAACTGACTTGATCATAATCCCTTCAACGATCATTCATAATTCCAGTCCTACAATTCTTTTTGGGGGAGTGGTGTCATCCTTCCAGCTGGAACTTACCGCTCCCACCCTGTATCTTCAAGCTCTAGGTCAAGTTCCTATGTCTCCACAAAGTCCACAGCACTCTCTCTCTGACAGGCCTAAACATTCACTATCTGTAGAACTTACCTGGCATTTGGATGTGTAACGACCACCTTGTACTAACTAGAATTTACCTCTGAAGGTGTTCCTACCCCCAATAGACTGGAAGCTTTGGGGAGGATAAACAGGGCAACAAACAACTGCCTAGTGATGGCGAACCTAGGACACGCATGTCAGACGTGACACGCGAACTCATTTTTTTGGTTGATTTTTCTTTGTTAAATGGCATTTAAATATATAAAATAAATATCAAAAATATAAGTCTTTGTTTTACTATGGTTGCAAAGATCAAAAAATGTCTATATGTGACACGGCACCAGAGTTAAGTTAGGGTTTTTCAAAATGCTGACACGCCGAGCTCAACAGGTTCGCCATCACCGGCCTAGAGCTTACCCAAGAACACAACGAATGTTTGTTGTTATCAGTAATGACACAAAGGAAAAACATGTAGGCATATAAAACTAAGCATGCTCAAAATTAGTTATTTTTTTCTCTATGATTTAGCTGGCCAACTTTTTCTGATGCAAGCATTCATCAAAACTATATTTTTCCAAAGTGGTTTCTCATACTACAATGCACAAGTCTAGAGTTACTGTCAACTTTCACTAACTTTAAATACCTGACACTTTTGAAAAGTTTTTTCCCCCCTTTTTTCCATCTTATCATAACAACTGAAAAATGTAACAACTTTTTTTTTCTTCTTCAAATATTTCATACATTTTTTCCTCAGGTTACTGTACGATGATTTAGCAGGGTTCTTTTCTTTCTTTTTTAAATTGTCTCTTAATAGAGAACTTCAGAACCAGGAAATGCTGTTTTGACCGCTGTGCATTAAACTGGCCGGGTAAGAGTCCTGGTGCCTAACTTACTCCTGCTGGCTGGTCAACAGGCTTCCTAAATAAACCAAAAGGTCAAGAACAAATGCCAAGCGTTTTACTGCCTTTACGGTGGAACGAGGCTCAGATAAGAAATGTTCTGGGCAAAACGGCCTCTGACCCCGATGTCAGAATCGGACTTTAACAGCAATGACACGTACATTCACCTTTGTAACTCGCTGTTGCCAGACTAACATTATTATTAGTAGTATTATTATTATTATTAGTGTGCTGCGCATGCAACACTCTCTCAAATTTGGCTTCTGAAGGAACTGAACATGCAGGGCCAGCAGGGAGGAGAACGGGAGCCAGGCTCTGGGGAACAAGCACGTCTCACCAGGATGCCGTCGGTCACCACCACTGACGCCCTCACTGCTGAGCTGGCACCTGCGCCCACGCCCCCCCCCCCACGCCCCCCACTACTTACTCTCTCTGAACCTACCATTCAAACTTGGGGCTGAACCGAACTTAAGGAAACCCCTAGGGCCCGAGACAAATGACGCGTTTCCACTTGGCACCGCCTCCAAAGACCTCTCCTTACACCTGCTTTCTGGCCCAGGTTCCAGTGACACGCGACCTGTCCGACTTCGTCCCGCGCCCCCGCGCCCAGCACGGCCGGCTCCAGGACCCCCGAACTTCGGCCCTCAGCCCTCTCCTTACCCAGGCCTGCGCGCCTCATCCCGGCAGAAGACAGAGGGAAAGGCAGGCGGAGGGGAGACAGGAAGGGGCCAGGGGTCACCGGACCTCGTCTTCGGGGCCAGGGCCCGGCAAATCACCAACTTCTTCCCCGGTAGCGCCACGACATCAGTGGAGTCTAAACATCGCGCGGGTTGATGGCGTCATCAAGCGCTCTTTGGCGCCTGGCGAGGCGGCCTGAATGGCATTCTGGGAAATGTAGTTCCTCCCAGGGAACTAGGGCAGGGAGTAGGGCGGGGCGTGGTGTGAACCCGGCTCCTGGCTTGTGTAAGAAGGGTGAGCGTTTCTGTAATTACAAGCATCACTTGGATCTTCGCTGCTGGACTCACTGCTCTCGGTTTAAGCGAGTATAACCTAACAGATCGGCCCTTCCCAACCCATGAAAGGACGGTTGACTTACTTTTCTGATTCTGCCTCTCTCTTCCTCTCACCTCCAAAATTAGTTCAGGGAAAAGCGAAGAAGCTTTTTCCAAGTTTCTGGTCACCTAAGTAAGAAATCTGAGACCACAGAGTAGGGAAGGAAGAGGGTTAACGATTTGTGTGCCGGGTTGCCCAGTAACGTTCCAGGTTGCTTGCATTTCTAGAAAGAACCATGGTATTAGTTGTTCAGGGACCTAAGGACCCCTAAACTCTTTTGACCTTTTTAATTTACACAGAGGATTCGGAAATACAATTTAAGTAAGAGTTTAAAAGCTTGTTGGTGGGTAGGGATGGTCCTGAAAACGAGGTTCGTCCTAAATTTCATTTTATCTCAGGGTTTTCATGAGGATTAAGGAAATAACGTGTGAGTGTGTGTGTGTTAACCTGAAATACAGTAAATGCTAAAACAAAAACAAAAACAAAAAAAACACTACTGGGTTTTTGTTTGTTTTTGCTGCTATATGACAGTGGAATAATCTCCATGCTAGAGATTTCTGAAAATGCAGGCTCTGATCATTTCCCTCATAGTTTCCCAATATGAGCATCGACTATAGCAGTGGCAGAGAAATCTCTGCCTTCAGGTTGTTTTTGTAAAATCCACACAAAAACAGTTTTTAATAACAGCTATTAACCTGGGAAATAAGCTTAATCCAATAGTATTTTGAGAGAAAACAGTCTTCATAAAAAAATAAAACAAACCACTCTTCTCTAAACACAATGGAATTAAATGAAGATTGCATCAGACACAATTTTTGCAAATAAACCCCTAACCCTAACCCTAACCAAATTTCATGGCTAATCCAAGGGAAAATAGCACACAAAGTTCTCAAAACATTAACAAATTTTCTAATCATGAAGCAAATAAGAGAAATGATGGCAAAGCTTTTTTTTTTCTTTACAATCTGTGACAGGCTCTTCTTTTGCAAAAGTACACATGTTCTATAATCAAAACATGTCAGAAACATCATCTTATATAAAGAAGGGTCTTTTCATATAAATACAATTTTTAAAAGTTGCATGTTAAATTTACCAAAACAGACTATTTAAATTACATGTGTACTCATCCTCTTTATCAACCACTTTCTTTACATGGTAGGGAGATATAAGGATAAAATACAGTTAAAGAAAAAAAATAAAGTCTATCAAGAATATAACTCAAGACAGGCAAAGCTGGTTTATATTGAGCTTGGGACCTAAAAATTCAAATAGTTGTTAATTGCTACTGTTGCTAGTCAGTTTCAAAATAGGATAATCTCATGTGAGAAGATTGTAAATTCAAAAGATGAGGCAGATATGATGAATTTAATATACAGAAGAGTAATTATTAAACATGGTCAGAGTAGACATAGAGACTAGAGGGAATTCTTTTCACTTTATTTTCTATTTTTCTTTGCCTTTTAAAATGAAAATTCCTAACTCTTCTTGCTGATGGAAGAAGACCAATAAAATTCTTAGAGATTAATAGCATTTAGAAAATTCTCTTTATTCTCATAGGAAAATTTCATAGAAAATATCTCAACCTTAGGGAATCTTTAGGAAATTAGTGACTAAACATGACTTAAGTATTTCTTGTAGTAATTACAGAAGCAAGAATATGAGCAGGTCTTATCTGAATCTTGGTACAAAATATGAAACTTTCTTTTTCCCATTTGTCTGCTTGCTGACCATTTGTCCTGCTTCTTCCTGACCAAATTTCATGGCTAATCCAAGGGAAAATAGCACACAAAGCTCTCAAAACTGGCTAAATAAACATTAACAAATTTTCTAGTCATGAAGCAAATTCAGTGCATCAAGTGTCATATTTGAACTGTAAGAAAATGCAAACTAAAATCAGATCTTAACTTACAAACAGGTTATGAGACAAAAGTTAATTAGTAAGTCAGTTAAAGTTAACTAGTAAGTCAGTTATTTTTGTACTTAGAACACATTTATGCTGGAGAATAAAATGGTGGTAAGGTTCCCAACCCAGCCAGAAAACACAGGGTTATTGTGGTTCCTCTGTTGGCCAAAGTCTATGTCACCTATAATACAGGTGAAATGCTATATATTTTCAGGGGAAAGCAGTAGGAAAAATAATTTTTAATCCTAAAATAATGCAATATCATTAAAGAAGACACAAACTTTTAAAATTATTTTGATTATTCTTGTTAGAGAATTACTTTTGCTTAAAAGTTCTTGAGAATTCAAAAAACTTTTTCCAGGAGTTTTTAAAGAGCCACCAATTTGATCTTCCCTTTCCATAATTCAGGAATATTGTAGCACTGATGTAATGCTTCTTAGCCTTAATTGATAAAAATGAGGCTGAACCTCATTGGTAAAATCTTCAGCAGAACCAACTACATGATTGTGGGACCTAGTGCAAAATGAAAACTCAGTATCTCTTATTCAAAAGCAGGAGGAAAGCTCCGTTAAAGGTACTAAAAAACAAAGGGTTTTTTTTTTTGTTTGTTTGCTTTGCTTTTGTCACAATCTACACACCGCCCCTCCCACCAAATTGTCATGGTGTTTTGTTTTTCAGCTGTTCTCAACCTGTGGGTTGTGACACCTTTGGGGGTCAAAGGACCCTTTCCCAGGGGTCGCCTAAGACCATCGGAAAACAATATTTTCCAAGGTGATAGGGCTATAATTGGTATAGAAAAAGAAAGGGAGTGAGTGAATACGGAAGACAGACATAGCCACAGGGAGAGATTGATCAAGGTAAGCTAACTGAGTGGTGACGTTTACAGGGAAGCAAGAAAATAGAGTAGAGTGGGGCCTTGACTTAAGAGTTTAATTCCTTCGGAGACCGAGCTCGTTAAGGAGCTCGTTAACTCAAATTACTCTGTCAACTCAATGCAAAAAATCGGTGGGAGAGATAGCTGGTGTCTCAAAAAACTCGTTAGTCGGGACACTCGTAAGTCAAGGCCCCACTGTATATTTATTATACTCCAATTGAAATTTAAGGAAGGAAAGAGGTTGTTAGTTGCACAGTTCTCCCAAGCCACCACCAGATTGGTTTGTGTCATCAGTAAGTGGTTACTGGGCCCCTGGTGAGTAAAACTGTTGTGTCTTGGCATGCACAGGCAGTAGAAGAAATGTCCTTGAGATGGCCATGATCCTAGCAAACCTGAGTGATGGGGTGTGATTGCAGGCATGGAGCTTTTTCCTGTGTTTCACTCCAAAATGTTTCATCTTCCAGCAATTTTGATGTGTTACTAAGACCTCATTCTGGGAAATAATTCTTTTTTTAATGTCAGTTAATCAGTAACTTTGATTCCACCCCCCCCCCCCCAAATATCTGGACTCACAGTAGAGCTAAAATGGGCACTTTGCATAGACTTCCCTTTTAATATCTCAAGTTTAGAGACATCTTAGACATTTCTAAAACATGTTAGATTAAAGATGAAAGGTTTAATTTCCATTGCCTAGGAAATTCTGGTGTTTTAAGTTTCTTCATTACCTATCATTCAAGACTAATTTAGTCAACTTGATAGTCATTTTTCATAGCATTTGTTATTCAAGAAGTATATTGGATTTTAATATCAATACATTCAAAGCACGAAAGGAAAAATGAAGTACACAACTCAGTTTTATTTGCACAGCACCGTTAGACACTTTGACAGACATGTCATTTTATTACCCCATTCACTGAGTGTTTTTTCCCAATTAGTGCAGATTAGATGTATATATGAGATGTATATATAAGAGACACACCATTTCAAAAAGTTGTTCAGGGCTTGAGATATGCCATCAGTTTTTATGTAGGACACATTCCCCTAAGTTTTCTGTTTTATTGCACACAATGATCTCATTACCCTTGATTTCTAGAATTGGGCCAAGACTGTGTCACAGCACAAGTTGTTTCAACGCAGCCTTAGTTTATTGACACAGAAGTACTCTGTATCCAAAGCCCAAAAGATCCAGTTTGTCACCTTTTCTATTCTTAATCATAATCCTAGAGTTAGCTGAGATGATCAGATTTGTATATCTTCAATATTTGTTTTTTTTAAAAATGTTTACATACTGGATTTAACAGCTTCAAAGCATGAGAGAGTATTAAAATGATTTAATCCTTGTACCAAAAATTATTGTTGTTTGCTACCATATTCCAGGAGGATCAAGTCTGGCATTTCTTTTAAAATGTATTTGTTCTTTCAGTATTTTCCCCCCCATGTAACTGATTTGTACTGACTTCCTCTTCTTGATTTGCTTTGTGGTGCAGCTATGTCAACAGACCTCAATTCTGTAAAATGTATATTGTCACTTGACTTATGCAAAGGTGATACTTGTAGTACAATGGAGCAAAGGTAATCTTTTCAATAAATGGCACTAATTAAATATATATTAACATACTAAAAAAATAGTTATCCCTACATCTCATTTATACAAAATTAATTTGAGATGGATTATAGATCTAAAATGAAAGGTAAAATAAAACTTTAAGAAAAAAAGATATGTATGTTTGGGAGAGAAAGAATTTCTTAAACAGAACACAAAAATCATTAACCAAAAAGGGGATATTTGATAAATTTTGCTACATTAAAAACA